CTTGCCAGAATTTGGAAAATTAAAATATTTGCATGTTACAGTTGATACTTCTTCTGGATTTTTGATGGGCTCCCTTCATGCCAGAGAAAAAACTAAAGATGTTATAGCTCATTGCTTACAAAATTTTGCCACTGTGGGTGTTCCAAAACAGTTAAAAACAGATAATGCCCCTGGTTATACTTCTACCTCTTTTAAACAATTTTGCTCAACATTTGGCATTACTCATATAACAGGAATCCCATACAATCCACAGGGACAAGGCATAGTTGAAAGAGCTCATCAAACTATTAAAATGTACTTATTAAAGCAAAAAGAAGGAATTGGGAAGGGGTATATATTCCCCAAAGATAAACTTAAAATAACCCTTTTTACTCTAAACTTTTTAAATTTGGATTCATCAGGACTTAGTGCTGCGGAAAGGCATATGTGTCCAAAAAATGTGCATAAGCCCAAGGTACTTTGGAAGGATATTCTAACAGGACAATGGAAAGGTCCTGACCCAGTAATTGTCTGGAGTCGGGGGTCTGTTTGTGTGTTTCCACAGGGAGAACAGCAGCCGATTTGCATTCCAGAGAGATTAACCAAGGTCCTGACCCAGTGATTGTCTGGAGTCGGGGGTCTGTTTATGTGTTTCCACAGGGAGAACAGCAGCCGATTTGGATTCCAGAAAGATTAACTAAAGCGATTTCTACAGACCAAAAAGAAGATGATTTGGCTCAAATCCATAACAACTGATATCCAAAACTCCAGTTTGGCTATTCTTACATCTGCAACAGAACCAGAATGCTTTTTTCAATATCTATTTTATTATTGCCCTTTGCCATATCATGAAGTTCTATTTTTTTTTTTGAGCTCATACAGACCTAGGTTAATGTTTTGCTGATCAGTTCTATTTTTTGACTATAGAGTTTTTAAACATTGCAATGGAGATTTCACCTGTAAAAAGTTATAAGGCCTTTACTATAATGTTATGTGTTGTATGTATTATATTATGTGTGCACACTTGTGTTTTGTGTTATATGTTTGAATGTATGTATGTCCATATATCATATATGATGAGTGCTCATGATAAAATGGATCCAAATATTTTGTTTTTTCACGTGATTTATATGGTTTAATTTAAATTGGGTAAACAACTGTTGAGGATTGTTTTAATATGTAAACAAAAAAGAAGGTTAACAGATCTGTTTGTTTACTTTCACCTTTCCTTTTCATTATATTTAATAATTCTCTTAAAGATAATGTAAATTGTTAAGAAAATTGTTTTCTTTTAGTGCCTTCTGTAATGTTACATAATTTTTCTTTAGCCATTATTGCCAGAATTCCTATCTTCATCCCAGTGCTGGTGAAGTCAAAGATAAAACCAATCTACAGCTTCTACAATAGCCATCACTGAACTGCTTGCAGAACTTGCCTGGACACATTGTGAGCTCACCTGTATGCATTGTGAACTATCTGTTGGTGCAGCGACTTGTGGTAGTGTTGGGGTATTTTTGCTGATGGTGTCACCGGTGGTACAATTTTTCAAAGGAGCCCTCAATTGGCTTAATGTCATGGCATTTTGCATCCTCCTCTACTAGTGATGGTCTAAAATTTGGGGGCCAACAGAGGTGAGGCAAAGAACCTCACCCCCCCACAGGTGCAAAGGCTGATCCACAAGTATAGCTGTATGCTGGACCGGTAGTCAGTGACGGGTATGATCCAATTGCAGTGGTACCAACCTAAGACAGGAGGCTGACGCCTAGAGGTCAGTTCATCCGATGACGGGTAAGGACCGTATGTTGAATTGGACTGCCTAACAGACACGGTCCCTAAGCCACATGCTTGTTGTTTAAACAGAGAGGGGGAGATGTTGAGAGCCACAGCCGACGGGGCCCCAGCAAACTTCCAGCTGCTAGCAAACTTCCAGCTGCCGGCTGATGATTGGCTCACAGCGGCCCCAGCAACATCTAGCTGATTGGCTCCTCTGTGGTGATGCTCATTGGGCTGTTTCCCTGCCCTTTCAGACCACGGAGCTGCTCATTGGGGGACTTTTTTGGCTCCGCCCACGTGACCCAGCCAATCGGCCTCAAGAGCAGGAGGATTGTGGGAGGTGGAGAGAAGCTTGTGTGGGAGAGAGAGGCTTGTGGAAAGCCGGTGGTGGCAGTTGAGGCTCTGAGGGTTTTTCCTGAGAGGCTGTTTTGTTTGGCGTGTGTGGTTCTAAAAATAAAGTTAGTTTCTTTTGACAAGTGGCTCCTGATTGTGCCCAGCCAGACTGCGGCAAGCATCATTCATAGTCTTCTTTTCTATTTAATACTTTTCTTTATCTATTTAATTTGGATAATATGGTAACTTATGCCTCAGGAAGACTTAGGAGGTGTTAATTCAGCTTTTATGTTCTGGAAAAAAAGTAGAAAACTGGTGGCAGTTCTTATGTGTCTCATGGAAGCCTGTTTGAGATGTCAGAGCCTTGCCTTGCCTTTTTGGGAAGTAATTAGTTATTGAGTCTGTGTTTTTCCAGCAGCCATGGGCTCATCTGTTTTGTGTGTTTCCCCTTGTGTGTAAGTTGTAGGAGATTGTCTCTCTCAAAGAAATGGTCCAGTTTCTGCAAGTTGTCTAATTTGTGTCAAGAACATTTATGATAATCTTGAAGTCCCAATGCATTGTTGACGATGACACTTTTAAATCTGTTAGTAGGTTTTCAGTCCTCGTTGTTTTTTTCTTTAATATTATTGTATATTTTACACTTTTTATTTCTTTCTTTTTATGTGGCAGTGAGGATTGAACCCAGTTTCTCCCAAGCACTAGACAAGCACTCTTCCACTGAGCCACAACCCCAGTCCCTGTCCTATGTATTCTTAGCCTTATGTCAATTAATCAGTGATGCTGATGTTCATGAAGAACTTGATTGGCAGACTGCAGATTTCCTGATTGTGGTTTCATCAACACCTTCTCTGTTACCTCCCTGTGGTTAATTTAGGTTTACCTTGCTCTTTTTCTCTGGTTTTCTGAAGTGGCAGTTTCATTGGTTGCTTTTAGCTCTTCTTTTCTGAAATGTGTGTTGGATGACTTAGATACCAATACAGTGCCACCTCTGGTGTTCTCTATGAATTTCCTATGATGGACTTTTACATTTTTTTCTTTCAAAATGGTTACCTTTTCTCTTGAGTCACCTCTTTGTCCTGTGTCTGTTCAGAGCCCTGTGTTTCATGTCCCCTTCCCTGGAGGCCTTTCAGCTTCTTCTGATCTGATTTCTGCTTTAGCTCTCATGTTCTTTGAGCATACATGGGATTTCACTGGCGGTGCACTTGTAGGGGTATGGTTTATGTCCTGTAGAGTGTTGCTGTGATCCTGAGACCTCAGTGTGCTTCCCGTTTGGTTGAAGGTCCATGAAGCCCTCCTGTCTGCATCATTGTCCTGACAGAGTTGGGCTGATGTCTCTGAGGGTAATTTTGGATTCTTCGTTGTTTGGGGTGGTTCTGTATGTTTTCAGTCTTTGAGTATGCTTCTGTGTAAGTGGCAGGGACATTTCCTTTTTGTCTGTCCTTCACGGTGCAGACATCATAGCATGCTTACAGATGTGAATGGTGGCCTCTTTCACACCCAGACTGTGTGGGATAGTTCAGAATCCTGGGCTACAAACTTGTTGCTTTACCACACTGTGGAAGAGCTTCTGCCTTAGGTTTGTTTGCACCACCATTGCTACAGGCACAATGAATCTGTTTCACCACAGACAACCATTGCATATGTGGCCCAACCTTGATCAAAATGTCCTTGAGCAGAACATTGGTATATGTCTCATGACTGTATATTATGGTAGTGATTCGGCTGCTGTTAAGAAGAGTTTGACAATCATTGGACATTCATTGTTGCAGTGAGACTTAGAAAAGTAGTGCTTGCTGTTTATTAAGAAGATTGTTTTGAGAGTTATAAAACTTTGTAAGGCTGTTGTTTGGACAAGGTGACTTTTTTTTTTTTTTTTTTTAGAGAGAGAGAAGAGAATTTTTTTAATATTTATTTTTTAGTATTCGGTGGACACAACATCTTTGTTTGTATGTGGTGCTGAGGATCAAACCCGGGCCGCACGCATGCCAGGCAAGCACGCTACCGCTTGAGCCACATCTCCAGCCCTTGGTGACATTTTTGGGTCATTGAGTTATTTCTAAGACACGGGCCATCTTTCCACTTACCCCATTCTGGTTTGACAGTAACCACAAGAAATTATCAAATTGTTGTGTTTATTAATAAATAAATTAATCAAATAGAGAACTCATGTTTGTTTTGGTCCTTTAATAGTAAGCTAGTTGACTAAATTTGTTCTGGAGTACAGCACCTGCAAACTTCTAGTTGTTCTTAGTGTAATCACACAGAATGAGCTCAGTCTCCAGTTAACACATTGTGACCAGCTGTGTGAAATGTTGTCTAAATGTTGTCTATGAAGGAATCTCCTTAGTGACCCCATGCCCAGAGGGTGGGAGTGGGGGCTGGTTCTAGGCATTTCTTTAAGTATGGAACAATAGACTTTCAGAGGAAACAAGACATCAGTAAATACCATGTTGCCTATATTAACCTTGTAGGTACCGGGAGTCACTGTAGTTGGCAGAATCTCTCTCAAATGCTTAGTTTCATGATTCCTGCATTTTTCTACTCAACACCTTTCTTTTCTAAAGATAAGTACTATGAGAAGTGCTTATATTAGCTCTGTACCACACAGGACATTTCTAGGACATGTAATAGAGGTGCAACCATTAAAGAAGTTAGGAGTGATCTGGGAGCCTGTCTTACTTCCTGTGAACTCACCAAAGGAAGGGTAAAAATCACTATGATGTTTGCCTTCTGAGTAGCCAATTTCTAGTGTTGGAATGGGTGTAAGAAATTGAGTGCAGTAAAGATTTGATGGACCAAATCATGGAATTAATCAGGAGGCCATGGAATCATGTGAACATCATGCATGTTGAGTGCAGATTTCTCATGCTGTCAATCTTTCCTGGCCTCCACTATACATTTGTGGTATATTTTAGACCTCAGTGACCTTTGAGGATGTGGCTGTGAACTTCACCAAGGAGGAGTGGTCTTTTCTGGATGCTTCCCAGAAGAACCTTTACAGAGATGTGATGCTGGAAGTCCTCAGAAACCTGGCTTCTATAGGTAATAATAATGTTTTAAAAATTAATCAAATAGGGAACTCATGTTTATTATGGTCATTTATGTAGAAGGTGAAAAGGAAATCAGTTGACGTATTATTGAAACATATATGGCACCTACAATTTGGCAAAGCATTTCTAGCTCCTATATATTCATAAATATTGTTATGTTCTCATTTTAGGAAACAAGTGGGAAGACAGGACCACTGAAGATCAGATTGAAAACTCTGGAAGCAACCTAAGGTAACTGTACTCACAAGAGGTATTCGTGAGGGAATCTGAGAACTGTCATATGATTTTTAAAGCAAACCAACCAAAGAAGTATGCATAATGTGAAATGTATTTATTCTTATAATATTTTTTACCAGAAATATATACTTATCTGTAACAGGTATTCAGTCTTTTCAAAGTATTTGACATGCAAAAAGTAGTATTAAATTGCATATGTGAATATCACTATGTGAATAATAGCCATAGAGAAGGTGTGTTGCAAAGGATTGTTTCCTTTCAATCTCTTTATTTTCAGGCAACTTTGACAAGTCAGAAAATCTAGCCTTCACCTGATGTTGGTAGAAATGTAAAGACCTATAAATAAATAGAAAATTGTGAATGGGTTACGTATCAAAGAAGTCCTTTGATAAACTTCAAACTTTCCCCACAGAATAGTGTGGGGAACCTTCAAATTGATTCCAATTCTTAATGAAACAAAGAAAAATTTTAGTAGAGTAAATCCATGTGACTTCATTATGTGTGCAAAAGATTTCATATGTCCTTCATTCCTTCATAGGCACATCACATCTCACTCTGGACACAAATACTATAAGCATGAGGAATGTGAAGAGAAGCCATGTGAATTTAAACAATATAGGAAATCTGTGGTTTCTCTCAAAAGTGTTCACACACAAATGTTGTTCCAAACTGGAGATAGACCACATGAAAGTACAGTATGTGGGAAAGTCATCAGTTGTTTCAGTGACATTCAAAGACATGAAGAAACTCATACTGGGAGGCAACCCTATGAATGTCAACAATGTGGTGAAGCCTCTTCTTCTCTCCCAGGTGTTCAAAGACACATGATAACACACAGTGGAGGTAAACCTTTTCAATGTGAGGTATGTGGGAAAGCCTTTCATTTCTCCTCCTTATTTAGAAGACATGAAAGAACTCATTCTGGAGAGAAATTCTATGAATGTAAACAAGATGGTCGAACCTTTATTTCACACACAAGTCTTCAAAAGCACAGGATCACACACATGGGGAATGCACATTTCAAATGTAAGGTATGTGGGAAAGACTTTGCTTATCCCAGATTACTTAGAATACATCAAAAAACACATACTGGAGAGAAGCCCTATGAATGCAAGCAGTGTGGCAAAGCCTTTGCTAGATCTGGTGACCTTCACATACATGAAAGAACTCACACTATAGAGAAGCCCTATGAATGTAAGCAGTGTGGCAAAGCCTTTGCTACATCCCTTCAGCATCATAAACATGGAAGAATACATACTGGAGAGAAGCCCTATGAATGCAAACAATGTGGAAAAGCCTTTGCTACATCCTATGAGCTTAAGGGACATGGAAGAACACACACTGGAGAGAAGCCCTATGAATGTAAGCAGTGTGGCAAAGCCTTTGCTAGATCTGGTGACCTTCGCACACATGGAAGAACTCATACTGGAGACAAGCCCTATGTATGTGAGCAGTGTGGAAAAGCCTTTGCTAGATCTGGTGACCTTCAGATTCATGGAAGAACACATACTAGAAAGAAACCCTTTGGATGTCAACAATGTGGAAAAATATTTGCTTCATCCCATCATCTTCACATACATGGAAGAATGCATACCAGAGAAAAGCCCTATGAATGTGAACAATGTGGAAAAGGCTTTACTACTGCCTCTTACCTTCAGATACATGAACGAACTCATACTGGAGAGAAGCCTTATAAATGTAAGCAGTGTGGGAAAGCCTTCACTCAGTCCTCTCACCTTCACTCACATGAACAAACTCATACTGGAGAGAAGCCCTATGATTGTAAGCAGTGTGGCAAAGCCTTTGCTAGATCCAGTGAAGTTCAAATACATGGAAGAGTGCATACTGGAGAGAAGCCCTATGAATGTAAACATTGTGGAAAAGCCTTTGCTAGATCTGGTGACTTTCACATACATGAAAGAAGTCATACTGGAGAGAAGCCCTATGAATGTAAGCAGTGTGGCAAAGCCTTTCCTGCATCCCGTCAGCTTCTTAAACATGGAAGAACACATACTGGAGAGAAGCCCTATGAATGCAAACAATGTGGAAAAGCCTTTGCTACATCCTATCAACTTAACAGACATGGAAGAACACACACTGGAGAGAAGCCCTATGAATGTCAACAATGTGGAAAAGCCTACACTACTGCCTTTTACCTTCGGATACATAAACACACTCATACTGGAGAGAAGCCCTAAGAATGTAAGCAGTGTGGCAAAGCCTTTCTAGATCCAGTGGCCTTCACAGACATGGAAGAATGCATACTGGAGAGAAGCCCAATGAATGTCAACAACGTGGAGAAGCCTTTGCCACATCTTCTCTGCTTCACACATGTAAAAGTACACATACTGCATAGAAATCGTATGCATGAAAACAATTGGTAAACTCTTCTGTTATTACTGTTTCGCTCATATACATGTAGGAAGTTTACTGGAGAAAAATCCTTTGAATGTGAAATATGGTAAATCAATATTTCATGTCATCCTCAAAGACAAGAGAGGCTCACACTGCTGAAAATGTGTGTGTGTGTTTGTGTGTGTGTGTGTGAGAGAGAGAGATCGATCAATCAATCCACTGGGGATTTAGTCTGGTGGTGCTCTACCACTGAGCTACATTCCAGTTCCTTTTTACTTTTTATTTTGAGACGGGGACTTGTTGAGTTTCTTAGGGTCTTCCTAAGGTGCTGAGGCTAGCCTCCAACATTGATTCTTCAGAATCAGCCTCTCGAGTCTCGGGAATTAAAGGCATACACCACCACATCCAACTGAATAACTCTTTAAATGTGAAAAATATCACAAATCATTCTATTTTCCCTGTTGCCTTCAAAGCCATTTCACTCACATTGAAAAACAAACCCTCTGAATTTGGGGGATTTGCTACATTCTGTCAGCTTCATTTTCTTTCTTATATATGAAAACACTCATGCAGAGAAGCCCTGTGAATGTGAGAAATGTGGGAAATCTACTAGTTTTCTCATTTTTTCCCCTAAGGACTGGGAATATCATTTTGGAATAAAAAGAATAAATCCTATGCAAGTAAGAAATATAAAGGGTTCAGCCGTTCTAGTTTTGTTCAGTTGTATGAAAGGAGTCATACTGTAGAAAATGCTGAGGATAAGCCATGTGGGGCAGTATTCAGATTTCAGAGTTTTCTCCAAAGGCATAAAAGAATTCACATGTGTGAAAATCCTTTTTCTATCTTTAAAAATTGCAGGAACACTTTCAACTTTCCAGTTCCCTTTGAACAGCATTTAAGAAATCACACTGGAGAAAAGCCCTGTATGTAGAAATGTGGTGAGAACTTTGCTTGTTTCAGATCCATTTGAACTTGTTCAGACTTGAGGAAAATTTTATTTTATTTCATTTTATTTATTTATTTTGAGAAAACCAGTGTAGGTGTTTGAAAATGGTGTGTGCCTTCATTTCTTTTTTCTTTCTTTCTTTTTTTTTTTTTTTAAATCTATTCAGAGGTAACAAAACTGCACCCTGGGTTGGAGAGGCGCATTGCATCAGCATGAAGATTTGAAAGCAATATGTTTTTCTGGGTTAAATCTCTCTTATTGTTAGATTCCATTTTCCTGTATCTTAAGTCTTTTGAGTCTAATGTTTCATTACATATTGTGTATGTTAGTTTAGGCCTCTCCACTCCAGGCTTTGGTACAGATTGGTGAAATGGCTCTTCTGAACTTCTTTCTTCTCTTTCTTTGTTCAGATTTCACCCAGGAGTGCTCTACCACTGAGTTTCTCCACAATCCTTTTAATTGTTATTTTTTGATATGGGGTGAGGCTGGCAGCTGGGACCATCGGGATGTGTCTGTGTACCCTGCAGCTGGCCTCTTCCTTTTCCTTGATTGCTTATTGATCTATTGATGACTCTGGGACCATCACACTTGTCACTTGTGCTTGTTCTAAGGCTCATGTATTGTGCTGTATGTAGGCACATTAAAGAGCATTATAAGATAATATCATTTGTGTATATTGTTTGGAGAGGCACTTTCTCAAAATATATTTTGCCCTATACTTGAGTTGCTTTCTCTTTTCTTTTCCCAGTTCTGGGGACCGAATCCTGCCTTGTGCATGCTAGGCAGGCATTCTAGCATTGAATGCTCTGTGGCTCAGGTGGTGAGTTTGCTGCTGCTGTGAGTGTGGACCCCACTGATAACCACATTAGCAGATGCAGCTCTGCAGGTGTTTCCTCCACAATTGCAGCTGATCTCTTCCTTCTTAAAGGTCTTTTATACCAGTGAATTTTTTTTTAAAAAAACTACATCCAGTTTAGGTTTTCTCCCCATGAATAATACTTAGGTGGAATATGCAGAAAACCCAGGCTTGATTTCTCTCTGTGTTTAGAGTACCTCAGTAGCCCTGGTAAAATTGTGTGATGGTTTTCTTAATACACACTGCATGACCAAAGGCTTGGTAAGGAGCATCCCACTCTGATGTCCTAATACAGCGGCATTCTCTTCTCTACCAAATAATCTTAAATAAGCTTCTCAAGAGACCTTCACCATAATTTTCTTTCAACAGAATGTCAGGAAAAGATTTTGCAAAGATCTCAATGTGGGTTATAACACAGACTTCTGCTTTTGTGGCAAAGCTTGGAAAGCCTCTGACCAATCTTAAAATTGGTACACAAAGCACTTTCTGTGAACTAATCAAATCAAAACAAAACAACGACAACAAAAAACACCTTTATGTATACCCCCACAAAAAATATAAACCTCCATCCCTGTCCCACTGGATGTAAATAAAGATCAATGAAATTCAAAGCAGTGATCCAAAAAATTTTGTGATACCCCTGAGAACCCTGCAGCTAATCAATGTGCTCCTGGAACATTCCTTGGGTGTCTAGCCTCATGTGCCCTACATCACTAATAAAGCTACAGCCTCCAATCAGGTGATATTGTGCAGTACTTGCTGTGGAGAGGGCTGTTTCTGCTCAGGGTAAAGGATTCAGTTGCTTGTCCTAAGGATTCAAAGCCTCCTGAGCAAAACCTCTCCCACAACCTATTCACGTGTCATGGATCTTGTGTGATTATTGGTAAGAGTTCCTTACATACTTGTGTCCAAATATTGAAGTTTGCCAACATGCCAAAGATAGGTTGATTGTCACTGCTATCTCTGTTCCTGCCATTTGCTGTGCCTCAGTGCTCATTTGGAAAGGAAAGCCAAGAGTGTGCTGTGGCCCTTCTGTTTTTGATAAATACAGCCTAAGCCATCCAGTAAAACTTCTTTAAAAGATAGTTTTGAATGCTTCCCAGGATTTCCAAAAACTTTCTTTGCAGCTAATGAGTCAGTGTGGCAATTTCCTAGTTTTACATTTTTGATTTAATAGAAATATTGCATAGAGGTGTGTGAGCACTTGACGCAGTCTGGACTTGTTTGTAATAAATCCATTTGCCAAAGGCCGTAGTTGCAGGCTTGTTCCTGGGCAGTGTGAGGGACCGGAGTGAATGCAACTGTCCTGGGGTGTGGGCATTGTTTGTAGGAGTTCAGTCTTGGTGAGTACATCAGTTTAGGAATCAGACTCCTAGGAGGGCTACATAATCTCCTGGCGGTACCTGCCTGTCCCTTTTGGACAATAGTGTTATCATGTGAGCTGGCAGGTGGATGGCTACCTTCTGATGGATTTGGGTTTGTAGCTGAGCAAATAGTGAGAATGTACAATGATTAAATGAGAATTAAAATATTCTTTGTCATACCAAAGACATAATTTGGGGGCCAAACATAATAACAAGTAACCTCTTGGACCTTGAATCACATATTTTCCTTCATGTATGCATTTTCTTACAAACTTTTGTAGTGTGATGCTTATGTGGAACAAACTGAGATAAACATGGAGAGGTTTATTTAATGGTACAGTGTACTAGAAGTTTTAAAGACTTGCAGCAGGGTTAGATTCCACTATTGTTAAAATTTTATGAAAGACTCTGCAATTCTCAAAATTCTTGAGAATCCCCAGGTGCTGTGGCATACACCTGAAATACCAGTGGCTCAAGATTCTGAGGCAGGAGGATTGTGATATTTTTCAACTTTTTTTAAAGAGAGAGAATTTTTTAATATTCATTTTTTAGTTTTCAGTGGACACAACATCTTATTTTATTTTTATGTGGTGCTGAGGATTGAACCCAGCACCCCACGTATGCCAGGTGCACTTGCTACCATTTGAGCCACATCCCCAGTCCATCTTTTCATTTTTCTTAAAAATTTATATTTATATATATATATAATATATATATATAAGTAATATATATAAATAAATTGTTTTTTCCTAAGATCAAACCCAGTGCCTCACACATACTAGGCACATTGTCAACCACTGAGCCACAACCTTAGCCCAAGGGTTCTGATTTGTAAGGTGGCCTCCCTGGATAACAAGGAGTAAAGAACTCAGTGAGACCCTGTCTCTAAGAAGTAACTCAAATAATAAATAAAAAAGAAGGCTGGGAGGTGGCTGAGTGATTGAGTGCCACTGAGTTCGATTCACAGTACCCCCAAGAAAAATGCATTAGGAACCAAGTTTTAATAAACCGTATGATGGGTGGATGGACTTGTCCATTATATTGTTTTCTTCTTTGGATTCTCAGGCATGGTTTACTAATTCAGGAACTCTGTAAAATTCACCAATTCAATAAAAAGCAAGTGTATGGTTTTAAAAAATAATAATATAGCAAGGTCCATGAGGGGCCGCTTCCTGCTCTGGGAACCTCAGTAATTGGTAGTCATCACAAGTGGCCATCATGTCCTTATCATAAAGAGTTTGTGAAAGCTTCTATTGTGCAGGAGTCTCTGAAGGTGCTAAAAGTGCCTGTCTTTTCAGAGCCTATTGGTGGAGGAATTCCATATGGAGGTCTCTGATTTAGAGATGATGTCATTGGGGAGCTCAAGTGAAACTGATAAGTGAAGAACACATTGCCACATGATCCAGGGCAGCCTAAAAGGTGTCAGATTTTCTTGTCTTCAAGGAGTGTGTCAAGCAACCTTGGAGGAGGATGTCAGCAATTTGCGATGTGCTCCTGCAAAAACGTCTCTGCTCAGGTCATTTGTGAAAAGCTGATGAGTAGTCTAAAAATTTATTTGGTCCTGTTAGTGATAAGGACAATTTGCATTAGAATGCTATTGAAATAGAGAAAACAGAAAATATTAGCCAATTCTGAGGCCAAAATATATACCAGTTGTGATTAAATAGGATCAGTAATTTTCACTATATTTGGTATTGGGTATGGATACTTACAGATGGGACTAGATCACCAAAGTAGCAGTAATCTACCCAAGGCAAATGTTGAGATAGAGAATATCTGTGTTTATGTAGTTGGTATTTTATTTTTTTCCTCTGTGATTATCATTGACTGTGTTTAAACATTTCAGGATGCCCAGATAGAACTCTAATTTTTCCATATTTAATGAATTAGAAAATGTTAGACTATTAAATATTCTCAGAAGCACATCAGATTTTATAGGAATTTTTAGTTTCCATAGACCTTGTTTTAACATATCAAAAAATATATGAAGTGATTTAATTAGAGATTGATGGTGTTTATTCATTTATTTTTGCTACTGTTGATTGCTGCGGAAAGTGTGGCCAAACTAGGAGGTTCTGGCAAGGTTTGATGGGACATTACAGAAATAAAGAGTCACAGAAGATACAACATCTGGGATCGGGTGGAGCACTGCTCTATGATGGAGCAGCAGGTCTAAAGAATTATGCCAGGGGGGCTGGGGATGTGGCTCAAGTGGTAGCCCGCTCACCTGGCATGCGTGGGGCCCTAGGTTTGATCCTCAGCACCACATATAAAAACAAGATGTTGTGTCCACCAAAAACTAAAAATATAAATGAACAAATATTAAAAATTATCTCTCTCTTTAAAAAAAAGAAAAAAAATTACACCAGCAATCTTTATTGTATATCTTTCATTGATCATATTAAAGACTATGCAAGCATTATTCTTTGTATTTATGAAAGTTACAGTTAGCAACAGTATGCAGCTATTTCCTCCGTTACATTCTACAGTTGGAATTTGCAATGTTAAGAGCACTGTGCAGCTCTCAAGAAAGTCCATCCTTTAAAGTTACTTTAAAGCATCCTTTAAAGCAGCGGAACTGGTGAAACATTGTGGTTGACTTAGCAAGGAACTTTGTGCCTGAGAATAAGGTCATAGCTGAAAAGTCTCCCACAACAGAGTCTCCCCCATGGAGAGCATTGCCATAGCAACCGGGCATCATATACTTTTGCGTAGAAACTTTTCCAGTCACCAAGCATGCCACTGCCATTACATCATTAGAGACCTCCATCTGAGACACTTGTCTCCCAATCACTGTCCTGGTCTCCACAGGGGATTGAACCCAAGGCTGCTTTACCACTGAGCTACACGCTCACCAAGGCTCCCCCTCTTTTTTTCTTTCTTGAGACAGTGGTAGACTCTGTTGCCCAGGCTGACCTCACACTCATCTAAAACTAGAGCAATGTGGTCTCTGAACCTTTACCCCAATGGTAGTCACATTTGCTGGGAACTCAGCTGAAGTGGTTCAATTAAAGTAATGACTTTGGAATTGTATAGGATGTGACTACTGTTTCCAACCCATTCTACCAGGCCTGGTAGAAATTTGCAAGTCCATTTTTATGTCTCCAGATCATAAGAAAAAGTATTTTTTTCAAATTTTCACAGATGTACCAATATCACACAGACCCTAAGTACTTGGTTTTTAGGGCAGGGATTATGGGAAATTCGTTGGAATTGTGTGGATCCATCCTGCCTTCTGATTTGTCTTCCCTGTTTTCCCTCTGACTCATTATAGTACAAGGGGTTCTTAACCACTAAGCCACATCCCCAGACTCTCTTTCATCCCCGTGACAGTAGAATGCATATATACACACACACACACACATATATACACACACACACAGACACACACACACAGTTTGGTATATCATACTTGGATGGGATATCATTTCTCATTTTTCTGAGTGTACATGTTGCAGAATCATATTAGTCATGTAGTCAAATATACACATACAGTAAAGATGTCTGTTTCAATCTACTTCTGTCTATCCTATTCCCACATCCCTCTCCCCTCCCTCCCATCACTTCCCTCAAGTTAATGTAAGGTAAAGTATTCTGCCCCAGTGCTCCCTCCCTCCTGAATTAGCATCAGCATAATAGAGAAAACATTAGTCTTTGGTTTTGCGAGACTGGCTTATTTCATTTAACATGATATTCTCCAACTCCAACCATTTACTAGAAAATGCCACAATTTTAGCCTACTTTCAAACTGACTAATATTCCATTGATCATATATACCACATTTTCTTTATCTATTCATCTCTCGAGAACCACCTAGGTTGGTCCATAGTCTAGCTATTGCAAATTGAGCTGCTATAAACATTGATGTGACTGCTGAGGAGTCATACATGTGAAAATATTTTTTTTAAAAGTTGCTAAGCAGGAGAAAATATTTTACATTACATATTTAATTATAGTATTCAGAGTATAAAAGGAACTCTAGTGACTCCATAATAAAATGATCAACAAATTAAAAAATGAATTCTGAATTGTGAATCCGTCAGATATTTCTGCTACTCTTTATGGTGTTTTCTGAGAATGATTTTCAAAATGCTAATTGTTACTTATTGCTCCTAGTCATCTGGAAGTTTCTAGAGAAAGGACGCCCCTTTCCTGCACTAGGCGTAAGTTCCAGTGGTTTTGCTAACTTCTGTTGCTGGAAGAATTGCTTCTCTCTCAACTCAATTATAGGTACCAAAGGGGAAAATTAAACAAAGTACCGATAGACTCAATAATATTTGAGCACTTTCTGAGCCCTGACCTACCCTTGTTCACCCCAGTAATAATTCCAGGCCTTCCAGTTGTTTTCAGAAGTAGTTTCTCCATGTACTGAGCATCTAAAATTAGTGACTTCTGTTCCAGGGAGTATATCCTAAACATCCAATTTCTATAAGCGACAGAGACTGAGCATGTGCAAATATTCATACATTACAAATAGTTGGATTTGCATTGTTTGTAACTGCTTCCAAAAACTAAAATTTGCAGCAGTCCTGTTAAAAATGTGTTAGAAACCACAGATTCCTGTTTCACCACAGAAAATACAATAGACTCTTCTTCTAGCTACTTGACAGCCTGGAATATAACACACTTGCCTCAGAAATTTAATGCATCAAATGAAAACTTTCCTTCACCCTATGCAGTCTTGTCAGAATGCCTATGATAAAAATCTGAAAAATAGGGGCTGGGGTTCTAGCTCAGTTATAGAGTGCTTCCCTAGCACATGGGAGGCACTGTGTTCAAGCATCAGAAGCACATAAAAAGAAATAAATAAAATAAAAGGTATTTGTCTATCTATGACTAGTAAATAAATAAGTAAAATATTTAGAAGTAAACAATAAAAATTTGAAAGATAGTAGGTACTCCAGAGCATATGAGCATGGATATAAAGATTCACCTGTAAAAATGCTGGTGAGAATATAAATTGAATAAAGGTATTTTTGAAAATGGTATTAAGGTTCTTCAATAAGTTAAAATAAAAATGTCATATGATTCAGTAGTAGTAATTCTGGGTATGTATCTAAAAAAATTGGGGTCATTAGATCATAGAAAAGACTACATTTATATTTTCATTGTAGTAATTTTCACAGAACCTGGTAAAAGAACTGAAGTACTTTTAAGGTAAATGGTAGTTGGGCATAGTGCCACATACCTGTATTCCCAGCAGCTTGGGAGGGTGAGACACGAGAATCATGAATTTAGAGCCAGTCTCATCAACGTATCAGCCAGGCACTAAGCAAATCAATGAGATCTTGTCTGTAAATAAAATATAATAAAGGAGCTGGTGATGTAGCTCAGTGGTTGACTAGCTCTGATTTCAACACACAGCATAATAAATAAATACGCTCAACACATTGACCCTATGCTTTATCTTCCAAGAAGCAATTTACTTGCACCCTTTCTGGATTAACTGGACAGGACGTGCTACATTCTTTAACAAACTATTATCTGCAGGAGAAATCCAGTTTCAAAATAATGTTTGTAAGAGGAACACAAGTTACACTAAAGGGGAGATTTTGTGATCTTGTTAAAGACCAGATTCTGGAACTCAGGGAAATAAAGATAATTTCTACTAACCATAAACTCTGAAAGAGTTTATGATTAAGAATTCAATTATAAATCATGAACATAAGGTTAATTAACCTAAAGTTTTCATGGCAGTGGATACTTGAGAGTTTGATATGATCCTGCTGTCAGTCCAAAGTCAAGAAGTGTACCTGGGCAGGATTCTTTAGAATCTTTTTTTAGATCTCTAATAAATTTGGAGAGAAAGAGAGCCATGCTCTTCTCTGTACAGAGTGGACACATTCTCTCTTTAAAGTGTCACCTTTTTCTTCCTTCACATCCCTTCTAATAAACTCATTGTGTCTGCTTTTTTCTCATGTGAAATGCTCACAAAGAGAAATCAAAATCTATAAACTGTCATCCAGCTCTTGGAGGAAAAATTAGAAATATTGCATCCATTTGAAATATAGCATAAAATAGCTGATAAGGCAAAGAGGGAATGCTGGCATGAAGATTGTGAACAGAGCTGAGTGCAATGCTGCACTCCTGTAATCCCAGGGTCCTGGAAGGCTGAAGCAGAAGGATCATGAGTTCCATGCCAGCTTCAGCAAGGGTGAAGTGCTAAGCAAATCAGTGAAACCTCTTTCTTTAAATGAAATACAAAATACTGCTGGGGATTTGGCTCAGGGGTCGAGTGAGCCAATAAGTTCTAGAATGACTTGTTATCCTGTGACAATTAATTGACCCACTATAGGCTGGAACTCAAGATTCAATCACAAGTTCCACAGAAGTCATATGGAAAAGATCTGGTGTATTATAGATAGTGTAGTTAAGTTGTTCCTGCACCCTCTGTCTGATAGGGTCACAGCATGGGGGATGCTGTGGCAGAGCTACACCATTTGGAAAATTAAACTATGGGGAAGGTTAAATGTATTGTTTATGACACTCTTGATATGGATAATAGGGTATAGATCAATCAATAATGAAAGTACATGTTGCCGGAAATGACAGGAAAATTCCCCAAATGAGACTAAAGATGCAATTAAGACATGCCTGGAGATGTGTTTTAATGTCTCTCAGGATACAAACAATAGTGTTATTCCTCAAACATTTATGAAGAAAATATGACAGATCTCAAGGTTCTTGAGAAAAACTTAACAATTTGCACTAAGCTCCACATTCTAAATCTACAATCTGTGCAACATACATTTCCCCCCACTAACAGGCCCTCCTTTGCCTTACACAGGAATTCATGATAAAAATGGGAAACACATTGTTAATATTAATGGTAAATGGGTTGTGTTGAAGAGCCTGCTCTTTTGTTAAAGATTACAAAGACATAAGAATAGTTGTATTTTGAAAAAGTATCAAGAAAACTATTAAAGGAAGCAGTTAAATAGGTCACATGAAAAAGAAAATTACCTTTGAAGTTAAAAATAGAATAATATAAAATTAATATACA